TACATTGCCCAGGCTGGAGAGTACAGTGGCTATTCATAAGGCATGATCCAAGTACTGACCAACACAGGAGTTTTGATCTGCTTCATTTCAGATCTGGGCTGGTTCACTCCTCCTGAGGCAACCTGGTGGTCCCCTAATACTGGGAGGTCATCATATTGATGCCAAACTTAGTGTCCACCTGACTGGCACAGTGCACTACAACCCAGAACTTCTGGGCTCAAGTGATCCTCCCACTTCAGCCTCTCAGGTAGCTAGAACTACAGGCACGTGCCACCCTACCTGGCTATCATTATATTTTTAAGAAATTGACAAATGATTCTTCAGAGTTTTTATACCATTATACATTCTAGTCAGCAATTTATGAGGGTTCCAGTTTTTCACATCCTTGTCATCGCTTGGTATCATCAATCTTTTGCCTGCTACCCATCCTATGAATAGTAGTAGTGCAGTGCAGTGGTATGTTGTGGTTGTAATTTGCATTTCCCTAATGATCAATGATGTTGAACATATTTCCATGTGCTTATTAATCATTTGTATACTTTTTTGGTGAAATGTCTATTAAAGTATTATGCCCATTTTTAATTGATTTGGTTCTTATTTTTGACATTCAGAAATCCTTTATCAGATAGGATCTAGGAACATTTTTCCCAGTCTGTGATTTGTCTTTCCATTAACTCTCTGGTATCTTTTGAAGAGCAAAATTTATCATTTTTATAAAATCCAATTTATCAATTTCTTCTTTTATGGATCATAAGTTTGGAGTCATATCTAAGAAATTTTTGCCAAAAACAAAATCACAGAGATTTTCTGCTGTTTTCAGAAGTCTTAGCGTTTTAGCTCTTACATGTAGGTCTGTGATACCTATTGAATTAATTTTTTCTGTATGGTGTAAGAGTTTAAGTTCATTATTTTGCATATGGATATCCAATTACACCAGCACCATTTCTTGAAAAAACACTCCTTTCACCATTGATCTGCATTAGCATCTTTGTTGAAAATCAATTGACCATAAATGTAAACACTGTACCTTCTATTTCATTAACCTAAGTGTCTATCATTATACCAAACTATATACTATTAATATTATTGTAGCTTTATAGTAAGTTTTGAAATTAATATTGTAATTACTCTTACTTTGTTGTTCTTTCTACAAAATCACTTTTGGTAATCTTAGTCCTATGTATTTCTTCTGCCATCCAAGTACTAACCAGGATTGATCCTGCTTAGCTTCAGGATCAGATGAGACTGGGTGTGTTCAGGGTGATATGCCCATAGACTGTCCTATGTATTTTCATCTTAAGATTGGCCTATCAATTTCTACAATAATGCCTGCTGAAATTTTGATAGGGACCACATTGAATCTGTAGACTAGATTTTATATGCTTTTTCTAAAATTTATTCCTAAATATTTTATTCTTTTTCATGTTATTGTGAGTGGAATTGTTTTCTTAAGTTCATTTTCAGATTGTTAGTTCCTAGCATATAAAATACAATTGATTTTTATATATTTATCTTGTATTTTGTGACCTTGTTAAATTCATTTATTATTTCTAGTAGCTATGTATCTATTTCCTTACGATTATATATACATAAGATCAAGTCATCTGTAAATGAGGACTGCTTTAATTTTTTCTTTCCAATCGATATGTCTTCAATTTATTTTTATCTTTCTTTCCTTACTACACAGGCTTCCAGTATAATGTTGGACAGAAGAGGTGAGAGTGGACATCCTTATTTTATTTTCCCATCCAACTACTAACCAGTTTTGTCCCTGCTTAGCTTCTGAGATTACCCCAGATCAGGTATGTTCTGCATGGTATGGCCATAGACTATAGTCTCAGAAGGAAAGCATGATGTCTTTCACCATAAATATGTTCTTAGCTATAGGTTTTTCACAGATTGATTTTATCACATTGAGGAAGTTCCCTTCTACTGATAGTTTTTTGAGAATTTTTATCATGAATAGGTGTTAGATCTTGTCAATTGCTTTTTCTGTATCTATTGTCATCTTCATTTTTCCCTGATTTAAAAAATTCACTAAACTACAGAAAAATGTGGCAGTTCTTCTCATTCCTCACAAGATGATGCACTAGCAAGTGCTGTTGACTTGCTCCCCTGATCCAACCCCAGAAATGCACAGAAGCTGTAACCAGCTGTGTGGAAGTTCTGTGATGACAGAGTTAGCTTACTTGATGTGTTTTTTAAAAACCAAACAAACAAAAAACAGTGGCCAAGGAATATAAAGGGCCAGGCACCATGGCTGGAGGAAGGGTAGAGAAAGAGGTCTTGCATATGATTTATTTTCTCTCCCCTACTCCTCTAATACGCTTATTTCTACCCCTATGAAAAAGACAAAGAGTTCTGGAGTTAAGAAAACAATGAGGTCATATTTTCCGAGGATTTATTTTTGGAGACCTTCAAATCCAGTGTTTTACGGCAGCAGTATAGTGTGGCGATCATTTGCTGTCCCAGTGTTGGCACTGAGCAAAGAGCTGCTTTCCAAATGGAGAGTGTTGACTTGCCAGGTGCCCTGCATCTGTCCGACAGCCTTCTTTTGCTTTGGGCTTTACTCAAAGCTGCTGGCTGTGTCTGGGCTCTGTCAGTTATTAGCCCACTTCCAACACAGGTCTATTTATGATGTGTCTGTCACCTTCATTTTTGAAAACCAGTTTTGCTAGATATTGAATTCTTTATTGACAGTTTTTTCTCTCACCACTTTGAATATGTCTCCTACTACCCTCTTATTTCCTTTGTTTCTAATGAGAAGTCATCTGTTAACTTCACCATGGTTCCTTTGTGTGAAAGTTGTTATTCTCTTGATGCCTCAAAATGTCCTTGTTGTCTTTGTCTTTCAGTAGTCTAGGTTGTATCTAGTTGTGGCTCTTTTTATTATATTTATTCTATTTGTGATTTGCTGGGTTTCTTTGATCTATAGATTTTATCAGATTTGGGAAGTTTTAAGACATTGCTTCTTCAAATATTAAATATTTTTTCTATACCCATCTAACCCTCCTTTCCTCCTAGGGCTTGCAGCTTACATAAATAGGTACGTTTTGATTTGATATTGTCCCTGATTTGTCCCAAGTCTCTGCAGCTTTGTTCATTCTTCTTCAATCTTTTTTTCTTTTTATCCTACTGGTCTATCTTCAAGTTCACTGATTCCTGTTCTGCCATCACAAATCTGCTATGTAGTGAATTCATCATGGTTATTATGTTTTTCAACTCTAAAATTTTTCATTTTTTTATAGTTTATATTTCTGTATTGAGAGTCCCTATTAGATGAGTTTTTCCTTTAAGTTTTTAAAAATACTTATAGTAGCTGTTTTGAATTAGTTGGGAGCTACTCCCCTTTTTATTTTTTAGCCTAGTTCCCCCCCAAATTAGTAAAAATTTATAATATAAATATAAGTTCTAGTATTTTCTTCCCATACTAATGATGTAGCAAAATAATTCTACCCTGAGAAAAGCAACTATATTGCTCATTTTCTCAAAGTTCTCCTCCTACTGCCAACTTCAAAGGAGGAGAACTGAGAATTGAGGAATATAGGGCTTAGATAACTAAATAATACTACACACTAAATAATACTCTTTCACTCAACTTAGGTTAGCAGTATTTGGTACTAGATAGGTAATTTATTTTCTATTCTTTGTTTATTAGAAAATTTTTAGACTGTTGTTACTCTTCATAGTCCAAGTCATAACATATGCTTTCTTTACTTGTAAAATATTTGCATAATTTTTAATAAAGTCTTTTGATTGCAAGGAACAGAGACTGAATAAAGGCAAACCAGGAAAAGAATTGGGTAAAGGTGATTATAGGAAACAGAAGTCTCATGGAACAATAATAAAAAAGAAGCTTCATGGGGAGAATAATTTGGGGAGGAAAAACACTTTTCTTCTATCTTCTTAAGTTCAACTCTGCAAATTAAACTGATAAAAGATAAATTGACAAGAGAAGAAACATTTAATTACATATGTACACATAGGTTCACAAAACAAGTATGACTCAAGGAGACAGAATTTTGGACTTATATGCCATTTTAACATAGGGGATTAAGTGTGAAGAAGAGGCTAGACAAAGGAAAAGGGGTTTGAGGATTCTTTGAGGGTAAAGGGGTTAAGTTATGGCTATTTGTGACTAACAAATATATGGTAAATAAGAGTTAGTAAGGTTTGCTATATGCATAAGAGTTCTCCTCTGAGTAGTTCCCTTCTTCTTACTGGAGAGGGGAGACACCTTTACAAATGGAAATTTATGGCCTGCTTTTTGTTGTTGTTGTTTTTGGCTTTTTGGAGGGTTTTTGTTTTTTGTTTTTGAGACAGGCTCTCATTCTGTCACCCAGCCTGGAGTACAGTGGCATGATCATAGATTACTGCAGCCTCAAACTCCTGTGATCCTCCTGCCTCAGCCTCCCAATTGACTTGGGACTAACAATGCAGGCCACCATGCCTGGCTAATTTTTCTCATTTTTGTTTGTTTGTTTTTGTACAGACAGGGTCTTGCTACATTGCCTAGATTGGTCTCAAACTCCTGGCTTCAACTAATCCTCCTGACTTGGCCTCCCAAAGTACTGGGATTATAGGCATGAGCCACAGCACTTGCCCTATGGCCTTCTTTTACACACACAAAAAAAAGGTGAAGGAAAAAAAGCTTTTCCTGCATCTGCTGTTTCTCAACTGCCATCAGCCCTAAATAATTCTTATGCCAAAATAGTGTCTTTTAGAGTGGCACATTGTGGTCCCTTAAGTAGGAACCCAGAAAACATGAGGACCAAGGCAGCTGCTCTCTCTAACTTCTCTCAATTTCAGATTCCCAGGAAAAGAATCTGATTGGCATCGTTACAGGTCAGGGGTCATTGGTTTGCCATTGGATTGGCTACCTATGAGTCAAGTACCCACAGAGGCTGATGCCATACCAGATGCACAGGCATGAGTCATGCATGGCTGTTTTCTTCAAGGGCTGTGGATACAGGTACTAGGAACATGTCTATTACACATACCAGATGTTTGATGCTGTTCTGATTTTATGAAGTTGTTAAATTGTCATGATTCCACTGTATTCCAAGAGACAGAGCAACCTAGATGTTTCATATGGAAAAAAGTATATTAAGTAACTCTCATTTAACTTGCTTGGCAAAGCTGAGTTTCAACTGCTTTCCCTCAGACATTTTATAGCTTTAGCTCTGAACATGATAACTTCATGCCAAAGCACACACAGCCAGTCCTTCTCACACAGGTCCCCTCCCTCTAACCTAGTAGAGAGAACTTTCCAAGGCCGTTCTCTCTTTGGAGGCTTAATGGCAAATCCTCTACTCTGTTCAACATATAGCTCCCTTTTCCACGGCAAACATCTGATCCCATCTTTTTCTAATTACCTCCCAACATTCTGATTCCAATTTTTCATTGTTGGAAGTCACGTTCTCTCAAGGACTCAAAAAAAAGGACTAATGAATATTGTCTTTTCTTAGCATGGGACGCGCTTCAGAAATCTAAGGCACTGGGAGGGACACAGTCGTGACCATGACATGGATCCCATCCTCTTAAGGAGAAGGCTCACACACAAATAACTACATTATACGACATAGTGTTAAGTGTAATAATAACATAATAAGGTAGAAATCTCCCTCTCCAGAGGGGGGTAGGGCCAGGAAACTTTCAGAAAAGTCTTTATAGGTAACTATTGGGCTAGGCCTCTAAGGCAGGGGAGGATTTTCTCACTCAGAGAATGGGGCTGGGGGTGGGGAACGGCCAATCCTGAAACCACCAGAGAATTATTATTAAAACCTAACAACCCTCCTCAGGCCTGGATTATTCCTGTGCTTTCCCTCATGTGCCACCTACCTCTGTTTCAACATTCTTCTTTAAAAACAAAACCCAAAGACTATCAGAATCAGTGCACTTTTTGTAGTTTTTATCTTCACTGCTCCTACTTACTCTGTAGACCTACATCCAAGTGTTAGAAGAGAGAAGGTGTTTGTTCCTGCTTTCCCTATTCCTTGCTGTTTCTGCTATGTTTTTTAAAGGAATTTACCACTAATCATTACGGGCTAATATAAACATAACAAACACCGGAAAGTTACAAAGTTTTCACAATCTTAAAAGGTTCAGGTTGACTTCTTTCAGGGCTGGCAATAGAAAAGTTCTTTGGCTTTCAGCTGTTTACTTTTGTTCTTGAGGGTGGAGTCAGCAAACCTCTTTAGTCTTTCTAACCTTGCCCTAGGCCCCACAGGCAGCTTGAGCTGAGGCCCCTTTTCCCAGCCCTACTTCCTAGCACTTTACTCAAGGTGGTTTAAACTTTCCTCAACAACACCATTTGCATTTCTGTGGAAGCTCTGGTTGGGTGTCAATGGTTTCCCTCCCTCACTGGAAATCTGGGATTAAGGCACTGCAACTTGTAAGCAAAGGATACTTTTGTAAGAGAGAACTTAATTGGCAAAATTAGCTGGGATTCTGAAGAGAAGTAGCCACAATCTTCAGAATCCATTTCAGTTGTATAAAGGGCCAAAACATTGGGGGTGAAAAAGTAGAAGCTTCAAGAAATTCCCTTTAGACTGTTTCCTGGTTAAAGGAAAGGCCAGTAGATGGAGATGGAGGTAGGCGAGAGGGAAGGTGGTTTTACAAAAGCTCAGATATTTGGATAGCTTAGGAAAAATCTTTGGGGGAGACAGTGTAACACATAATCTAAGGGAGGAATTATAATCAATAGAGCAAAATCCCAGTGACGATGGCCTGTGTTTAGGAGCACAAGTAGAGTATGAGTTAGAAGAGGACTGTGGATACATCTTCTCAGTCAGGACTGAAAAAAATGTGTGAAAATTGAGACTGAGGTTTAGGTAAGTTGAGGAATCTCATGGTGGATCCCTCCGTCAAGTATGAGGCAAAATCATTTGCAGAATTGAAGGAAGACCAAGTAAGTGGGAGCTTGAGGAGGGCAGAAATAGGACAGGTTTGGGAGATAATGTTCTTGGATAAGTATAATATTTGGGGTAATCACCCTCCTGATGAGGAAAGGAATCTAGAGAATCAGAACCAAGTCTGGATAGCATGAACTTTTAGTGGACTGGTGTCAGTTCTTAACCTTATCCAACGATGCTTAGTAGTGTAGGAGCAAGTTCAAAAGAATCCTTTCAACTAAATATAACAATGAAGAAAAAAATTAATGTTGAATTAATTTTGACAACTTATTTCGGGGGACATTATTTATGATGGATTTTAGTAACATTTTAATTATGACAAACATGAAATACACAATATCAAAATGCTCAAATGTGATCTGAGAAAAAAAATATTTTAAATGATTATTGGAGTAAAAAAAAAAAGCTTTTTTTCCCTCCTTTCCATGCTAGCCTAAGGCAAGAAAAAAGAAAATACTCATTTTCTTCCTTTCCATTAGACACATCTTCCATTCATTCAATGTTATTCAAATTTTTCAAAACCAAATCATTGGTATCTTGTCAGTACATTCAAAAGGAATTTTATTTATAAAAATTTGCATTTTACTTTTTCTATTCTCCTATAAAGAAAAATACACACACACAAAGCCAGAAAAGGTCAAAAGCAGCTTATTTCCATGATGGCAAGGCATGAGACAGCACTTTCTGGCTCTGACAATCCTTTCCCAATTCTGAAAATATTTAAAAGGAACATTCATATGTTCACCTGTTTTGTTCCACAGTCCAACCCTGCACAAGATTGCCAACCAAATTCAAATTTTACTTCAAATTTTGGGGAGATTTTTTCCTATCATGGTACCATATTAATATTTCTTATGTTACCTTTTTGTGATCTTCAACTTGAGTAAGATAAAAACCAATAGCAAAGCATATTACCCAACTTAAAATTCAGAACAGTAGTTAGACATATGTAGCTTGCACACACAGTAATTTGTTTCTCTCAAGAAAATATTTGTAATTTCCAAAACCCTATCAGCTTTTTCACACAATATGGTCATTCCAATTTGAGGGGCAGTAACATAAGCATAGTTTTCTTACTAAAGAGATTGGTATAAAAACAGCAAAATCAACAAAACAAGGAACATAAAAATATCAGTGGTATAGCCCACAGCAATATCATATTTAAAGGCCTAATATGTTCATGAAATTCCACTTGAGTAGTTGGTACCTAAATATGAAATTTATTGACAAAAAATAATTAGTGTTGACAAACTAGCACAAAGTGACTTTAAACAAAAGTAGAAAACTCATTATTAAAGCTTAAGATTTTTGTAGGTAATGATTCCATCCCTCAGTTCATTTATCAAATTTAAATGTAATCTGGAAAATAGAAAATAAATCCAATAACTGTAATCTATTTCCTTTACCATCTGTGAAATCATCAGAAGGCATGAAGGATTGACTCTGTTAGCTATATCCTTCTCCAGTCTGTAAACTCTTAGGGGAAAGAATATGCTCCTGCCAAGCTCATGGTGCAGAACGCACACACAGGGATGTTTAATAAAAGTCTGTCAATGGGGAGAGTAGAGGTTTGTTTCGGGAAGCAGGGAACACACCACTTTACAGATACCTTAAGTGTTAACCCTTTGCCATCTATTGTGCTATCTATCAGCTTGTTCCCTTACCAAAGTATCATCCAGAGGAAATCCTCTTTTGAGTCTCCCTTGGGAAGGAGTGTTACTGTAAGTTTGAGGGCAAACAGATTTGAGGTAGGATCCACCTCAGGGAAAGGGGAGTGGTGGGGAAGAACAAGCATAGGTGTTAAATAGAATTCAGGTGGCTCAGTGACGTCAGGAGGAAGCAGCGATTTAAGGGACTCGGTGCAAACTCACCTGGAGAAGCAGAAGCTGCACACATGTCAAAGGTCAAAGGGCATAGCCTCAGGGGCTTCCCAGACGCAGGAAAAGTGAAACGCCCACTCCTGGGCTCTCAGCGTCTAGGGGCTCGGCTGTTCCTGCCTTTGACGCCGGGGACAAACCCTACCATGCACAGTTGGGGCTCACAGGAAGGCAAAGCAAAACCTGCCTCAGGTTTCAGAGCCAGCGCTCGGGACACCCCTTTGCACTTCTTTCCCCCGCCCCCTCCGGCGCCAGAGACCGGGGACACCTTCGTCTCCACTCCCCACCTCCTCCAGGCCCTCTCGCTCTTAACAGCATCGGTCTCCATGGCGACCTGAAACCGCAGTTCCCATTGGCCCGTTCAATATGAGGGCCGGGCCAATGGGGAGGGCCAGCCTTCTCCTTCCGACCAATGGGGCTGGCGGAGCAGGTCCGGAGACGGCGGCGTGCTGACGTTCCCGGGAGCCCGGGGCTGGCCGGGCAGGCGGGCTGGCGGCTGGGCGGGCGGCGGCGGCGGCCTCTGGGCAGCAGAGGGGGCTCCGGGGCTGAGTCCGCGTCGACGCCGGCCGCGGAGGCGGCACCATGGGCAAGGGGTAGAGGGGCGAGCGGGCCGCCGCCGCCGCCGGGGGTGGTGGGAGAGCAGCTCCGGGGGAGGGGGCGGGTGGGGGAGGGAGGGGCGGGCAGCCGCTCGGCCGCGGCACTTTTTTAATTTTTCCGGGTGCCGCAGCGGCGACCCTTCGGCGCCTATGTCCCTGAGCCCCGGAGCGACGACGGCCGCTGCCGAAGCTGCAAAGTAAGTGTGTGGGCTCGCGGGCGGGCGGGCGGGCGGGCGCGGAGACTCCCGCCTGCGAGACCCTGCCCTCGCCCCCACGCGCCGGCCCGGGACCTGCCCGCCGGGGGGCGGACGCTCCCCTCCGGTTACCCCGTCCCCAGCGCCTGGCGGCCGCCTCGGCTTTCCTGCCCTGCCTCGTGTTCCTGCCCGCACTCGCCTGCCTGCTCCCCTCCCCCCGGCAGGCGCACAAGTTTCACCCTCCATTTGCTTTTCCCGGCGATTACTCTTCCCAGGTCTCCCGCACGCGCCGCGCGCGACCCCTCCCCGCGCTGGGCTCTCCGGGTCCAACCGGAGCCCCCAGCCCTGAAGCCGAGCGGCGCGCCGAGCTCCCCGGCCGTCTGCCGCGCTGCTGCCCCGCTCCCGCCCGCCTGGCACGCCGCCCCGCGCCGCCAACCCCCGGGGCGCCCGCCTTCCCCAGCCCTCGGGGCCGTCTGTCCGTCCTGCCAGCGCCAGGTCCTGCATGCTGGTCCTCTTTTCTTCCTCCCGCGGCGCCCCTGCAGCCCGCGCCGTCTCGCATTGGCCGCCCGGGTCCTGCACTCCTGCCGGTCCTGCGCACCCCCCTCCGGCCGGTGCACCCCTCTCTCCTAGCCGCGAATCCTCACGCTCCACCCCTCCCGGTCCCGAGCCTCCCGGCTGCCCTCCTGCGCGGCCGCTTCCTCCTCTGCCTGCTAGGAGTTGAAGCGGAGCTGCAGCACCCCCCTGGCGGATCGAGTGTCCCTGCCCGCCGCTGAGGCTGCCCGGCCCTCTCCCCTTTACCCCTGCCGGGGAAGCGAGGGGGTGAGCGGCGGGGCTGGGATTTGGCTGCGTGTTGGCCGAGTGCGACAAACCGCGAGCGCGGGTAGCGGAGGCGCCGCGGCGGCCGTGGCCAGCTCGGGGCGCGGCGGTAGTCAGGTGTGTGTGTCCAGCGGGGGACGCGCGCTGCCAGCTCCTGGGCTGGCGACAGATTGTGCAGGAATGCGAGGAATGCACCAGGGGCAGAGTCCACACAGCCCGCCGCGGCTGCACTAGCGCCTTCCCGGCCCAGCCTCTCGCGGTGCAGCCAGAGGTCACCGAAGCATCTTCGGAGCTGGTGAGCCTCGTTCCACTCCTCTCCTCCCATCCCTTCTTTCCATGCGGCAGAGAGGGCGGTGGGGGAGAAGCGCGGTAGTTCTTCTTCCAGCTAGCCTTTCGTCTGGGTTTTTTGCTGCATTGGTCGTCAGGATCGTGAATTTGGGGCCGATGACAGTGTAGCCAAGGTTACTGATCGTTGCACAAGGCTCTTTGCAAGTTTGGTTTGCAAGGTTTTGAATAGTGCCTGGTTTGTACTAGGGTTTTCTGAAAACCTGCAGGAACCGGGGCCCCGAAGGTTCTTAGAGTAACGAGCTTGCAGCCAACACATTTTAGTTCTGTATATTAAAAAATACGCCTGTTAGTGCTCATGGACGGGAATGTACTGTGAGAGAGATCTTGAATGCATCACTTTGCTGTCATATGAAGTGTAATTTTTTTCCTCGTCATACTGGGCTGTTTAGACCTCGTATAATACATAATGAATGGAAACAGAGAAGCACTGTTTGGTCAGCGATGGGACAGATAGAACTGTCTGGTACAGTTAAATTCGGGGCGTGTCAGTTACCACTGGAAGTAACAGGGACACCACAATCATGTATATTTGAAGACGTAATTTACTAGTGGAGGTCGCAGTTCTTTCTCTTTGTTACTGAGTTTGGCTGAAGAAAACATAAATGCAGTCCTACAACTTTTAAAGAATGGTATGCATCACATCAGTAATGGTTAGTATGCATTTTTTGGTCAAATTTTATTTTTCTTAACAGAAAAGCAAAATTTTGACAGAAGATGCTTCTCAAGAATTGGGCTTAGATTCTTTTTATTAAAAAAGGGAAAGTAGAAGAATGCTTCTCTTTTTGAATGTACTCTTATTGCTGTAGAAGTATCTTCATTTCTGGTGCCTGTGAAACAGTTATGGAAAATGGCAACATGAAAATGAGAACAACCAATGTTTGAAATAAGTGTTTCTGGATGTTGAAGTATATACTATGTGTGCTTTTATTTGACACAGTTTGCTTCTGAGGTTGCATTTACAATTAGCCTCTCTGCACCTGGTTATTTTGTATCAGGTTCAGTAAAATAATAAGTCAGCTGTCCAGCCAATCAGCTGTCTTCCAACACCTACTTTGTGTGGATCAAGGGCACTGAAAAGTATAAGATGAGAGCCATTAGGACCCCAAGGAATGGGGGAAAAATACTCTGCACTCATAAAGGTTGTATCTTTGCCAGGTTGTTTTTCAAGTATGTCCAATAATCAATGAATCTCATAACTTAGAGGTTTAATTTATATACAGTAACACAGTGGAGGATATTGGGGGAGGTGCTTGTAAGTGCCAATGGGAAACTTTTATTATGTAACAATATCATATTACAGCAGTTTAACCTGTGCTTATTTGATTTGCTGTCAGGATTAGAAGATAAAAGCAAATTTTCTTTCTCTGCTGCATTAGAAATTGGAAATCTTGTTCAAATATATAGATATTATACACATGATTCGCTGTGCAAATAGTTTTGCCTGTAACAAGTAAAGGTAGGCTTTCGATTAGAGATACATTATTTGTTATAGATATTTAAAGAGAGGAAATTTTTTAACTGGTGATTCTTTGCAGTTGAAAATAACATAAACTGTGTTTTGACCAAATACGCTCATTCCCCACCCCCTACTATTATGTAAGGAGAGGTTGCTGCATTTGGTGTCTTACCTATTACACTGAAGAGTCTAAGTTGGGGAAACTATCCAATTATCTTAATTTTTACCTATACTGTGTTTAGAGGGAGATAGGGGAGCAGAGGTAGTGGTAGACAGTATAAGAGAAGGGAAGAAGAAAGTAAAGGCAGCTGGTATTTAACCAGGAAAAAAAATCATATGCGTTATTGCTGCATTTGCAAGCTGAATAAACCAAATCTAATTCTGTGAATAGTTCTGACATAACATGAATTAAAGGAAACTACTACTAAATTCAGTTTAATAAAAAAAACTTTAGCAATTGTATGACCTTGAGTATTTGGATTATGTCTACATTAAATCAGAATTGCAGTTTTCTTTCTTTTCTGGTCTGTACAAATAAGCAAGTAAATTTAACATAAAAATTGAAATTCACTAAATTTTTAAAAATCCAATTGTTGCCAACTCTTTAACTGAATAATTTCCATGCTGTTAACCAGGGATTGATTTAAATAAAGAATTTTAATACCCTGGGTGATGCCAACCATCTGGTAAGTCTAGTCCCTTACCTGATTCCTTTGAAATATTAAGATATTTTGAGAATGTTCTGTAATCTGTTGTCTCCCTCCCCAGGCATTTAAATCAAGGTAATCAAGAGGTAACTCCCTAGCTTAATGCTGAAATGGTCGTCATATCTTCATTCTTAATTGAAAGATAAAGTAGAGATTATTATAGGGTTATTCTGGGACATAAAAATCCATGGAATTGTATGTCACTTTGGGAAGTTGCCTTCATGCCTTCAGTGTACTAGGAAAAATTACTCCTTCAATGTGTTAAATGGTTCTGTAGTGCCCTTCCTGTGCTGAAGGGGGAAGAAGAATCTGAAACATAACACCAGTGGTCTAGGTATATTTGGAGAATTAGATATATATTTCACAGCCAGACTGTAACTACAAATAGCTACAAACAGAGAGAGAAGGGAAGGAAAACTTTTAAGATACATGGATGTAAGGCTTTATATACTGCTAGGAAGTGATGGTAGCAGTCAGCAGGTCAGTTTGATGCGCATTGGTAAGAAATAATAGGATTCTTTCAGGGTAAGAGAATCAGGCCCTAAGCTGCCAAGAGCAATAATTCATGTAGTTGGCTGGTTTCAGTCAAGAAGTTGTACAACATTCAGGTGTTTCTCACATTGTCATTTTACTAATTCAGTGAAATTATCTTCATTTTGGCGATGCTGTGTTTCCATTTCTAAATTGGAGATGTTACTCCAATTGGAGATGATGGTGCTCTTCACTTAAACATAGAAATGTTGTAGACATTCCATTTGTCATTGGCCTAAGTTTTTTCTTTTCATATTTTAGATTTACTTTTATTTGATACACCAATAAATGTTGGTTACATCGCTGATCATCTTATTCATAGCCTTGGTAACATTATAGTTTATTATGACTCACATATAATGATTCATGGCAGCTGATAAAATATCATTAGAGATTAGATTGTGAAATTTTATTGCTATAAAATGTATAAATTAAAATATGGAAGTGTCTGAATTATTTTAAGTCATGTCATTGTGAAACATTTTTTATGAACCAAATAATGTCTGATGATTGGGTGGGTGCCAATCCCTGTGGGCAAATATTGAATAATATAGGCCTCACAAAGTCCAGAACTCACAATGAAGAGTGGAGAGGAGGGGGTCAGGGGAACCAATAACCCTCTTTCTTTAACATCTGAGGTGTGTTTGACTTCTACAGATATTCTCTGTATTAA